TAGATGTTACACAATCATGCATAATAGATCTAAGAAACTCATAACATGGATGGATCTCCCTCCCACCATCCTCTAATCGGGTCATTTTGACCCAAAATGAATAATTATAATAATAAAAACAAATTTGAGTGTTCAAGACCTTAGGACATTTGTCACACTCGAAACTTGGAATACACACACAAACATTTTTTCTTTTAATGGATTCGTAGAATTTATGTAGTTGAAATTTATAAAAAAAATTGAGAAAATGGTAAAATTATAAAATTATAAGCATTTTTGAAGCTTAAATGTTCTTTAAGGTTGTCCTAAACTGTCCTAACTTGAATTATTAGAAAAACATAAATAAAATTTTTAAAAAAATTCAAAATTACAACTAAACATGCTAAAACTTTACACTGTTAATTTCACCATTATCAGTTTATATTTAAACTGATACCTGAATGCATACAGAAGAAATAAACTGAATGAAATGAACTGACTTTAAGACCCAGGGGAACAGATCATTTGCTCCATATAAAGATTATAAGGCCATCTAGTGGCATGTCTTGAGTCATGAAATATATATATTTCTCCACAAGAGGTCGCCAAAGACACCCAATGTGAGATATTTTGAGCTGAATTTAAAGGGTTATGCACAAAAAAGTGAGTTATTTTGAGTTTAAGTAGATAGAATGTGAAGAATGTGCTTCAATTATATTATTTATTGATACAATAAAAAAAAATCTCTAAAAAATTGCATTGAAGGAGTCATGAACTGGCTTTTTTAATTTTATTATATTGTTGTCTGAGGTCAACTTATAACGTTCGCTTGGTTGTTGCATTCAAAAACATCAAAATGAACAAGTAATAGGCTATTTTGTACCCTGGTTGTGAGCCTACCTAAAAAACAGTCGGTTTTTATGGGTGTGTCGCACTGAAGACTTGGAAGTAAACCCACTGCTGCGAGTGGAGAACAGTTTTGCATAGTATAATGATTTTAACTCACCCGTCGGTGCGGGTGCACATGGGGGAAAACGTCCAATGTTGTAAAATGGCAACCGGAATCGCCCATACATGTTCGACCCAGAGTCCATGTGTTGCACAATTCCTGTCAGATCCAATATAGACGGCACAGCACCGTTCTTTACTCTTAATCGGTCTGCAAATCCAGTCTTGTTGACAAAACAATCCTCAGTGAAATGAAGCGAACAGACGACGATGTTTTACCCTCATCAGCTGGAACGTCATTAAAAATAAAGTTTATCCATGCAGTCCTATTGGAATCCAGGAAGCTTATGCAGCGACTGTCTTGCACAACCAGGCACTGCACAATATTCTGTATTGCTCGGTAGTGAGTGATCCAGTTTGTCATCACGAGGTAAGCATGTACATGTATGATACTTAGCTAATCGGTGGGCGGGGCTAAACCTGCCGTGGTGAAGCAGGCGTTGATCTTCTTCTGCAGGGGTGGTGTTTTATCCTCTTTGTCGTCATAGTTCCCCACTTTGAAAAACAAGTCGTTTGCTGAGGCTGATGTCAATAAAAGCTTTTATTGGACTAACAAGGACGTTTTCAGTTCTGAAACTTACAGGATATTCTTATAATATGATGACCTCTTAGATGTCAAAAGCTCAAGGAAAAATTGATTTCTCAGTTCATTTAAATTAAAAAAATAAATATATATTAACAATATGTAGACCCCTCGGGCGGCCAGGGCAGAGACGGCAGGGCGGAGACGATCCCTCGGGCGGCCAGGGCGAAGCAGACGACTCATCGGGCACAGACAATGGCTCCGGCTCAGAAACAGACACTGGCGAATGGGCATCTCCTGATCCGTCTCCAAATTGGCAGACGTGGAGCGGACCGTCTCTGGCTGGCCGGACATAACGTGAACCTTCTCTGGCTGGGCAGACGTGACGCGAACTGTCTCCGGCTGGGTGGACGTGACGTGAACCGTCTCTGGCTGACGAAAAGAGGCAGAGTTGTAGCATATATCGTTTTATAGTGCCTTGAATATAAAGAGAACCGGAGTAGCCAGAGCGTGCTGAGTGACGCGATCAAGAACGCCGCTGTTCCATTTGCAAAATTACCGGACTTCGGAGTCTGAGTTCATTCTCATGAGTCCAACTTGGCAAGTCCGAACTACCAAGGAGGACGCAAGTCCAAAATGTTCCAAAATGCATGTCAAAATTACGTGAGAGCAGCGTGAGAGGACGGCGCGAGGCCGTGGCGTGAAAGAAACCTGTGTGAGATGCGCTCCGGTCTCGCATATCTCTCACAGAGGAGCGAAAGCATAAAATGAGGAGCGACGACAGCAGATCGAGAGAGAAACAGGCCTGATTTTATGTTGTGTTTTGTTTCTGCTGTGTGTAACGTTACAACAGTTGTCAATGAGGGGTTGCTGGCTTATACTTTCGTTTTGTATTAGTTCATTTTACTATTAAAATGTTTAAATGTTCGCCGATTCCCGCCTCCTTCTTCCCACAACAACAAACCCTGTTAACGTTACATTGGCAAACTCATTAGTGAATTACTCCTCGTTTGTATTTATTTCTATATAGTGAATTACTGCATGATACCTGGATGTTCAGTCAGGCGAAACTAGGGTAGTTCACATCACAACACAAACGAGATTTCATTCAGGAGAAATTGCCATCATTGAAATTCTCTGCAGCAGACGGACTCTATCTGTGTTCGTAGTTCGCAGCGAGAGTACAAGACAAGCACCAGCAGTCCGCCTCAGCTCGAGTCAATTCGGGCTCCTCGACCGCGACAGGCAGCCGCCTCCTGCTCCTCCATCAGCCTCAGCTGCTCTTCACTATACTGCGGCTCGTATAGCCACGAACATCGCATTCAAACAGCAGAACTTCAAAATCTTCTTCCATATCATGTTTAGTTTCTTCTGTCAGTAGCCATGTTTCCATCCACTTGTCAATCGAATTATCTGAAGTTCGGTAAAAAAACACATGCGAATAAAGCTGGTGAAAGTGTGTTTCCATCCAACGGCTTTAAAGCGAATAAAAACCTGTACGTAATGACGTCACATGCTGTTTTGCGATCAAATTGGTTTGATCGAATTCGAATTGATTTGAGACATTTTAAGATGTTTCCATTCATTTTCGCACTGAAACGAACAACATTCAAGCAAACTTTTGCTAACAAAGTTTTGTTAGACAAAACGGATTGCGCCATCTACCAAAAATTCACAAGTTGAAGCCTAATAATGCTTATTATGTGCCAGTTGATAGCGACATATGTATGGGATAATGTATGCGAGGCGGTTGTTGACGCGGTTGTATTCGCTATAACAACTGCCTCGCTATATATTATCCTCTCATCAACCAAATAAATAAATACATTATTTGACACAAAATATTGACTTAAAAACGAGTTTATTGATTTAAAAACGAGTATTGCTTCTGCTAAAGAAAATAGTCTGTTCCCGTCTCTGAAATGCGTCCATAGCAACGGTGTGTTATAGCAACGCCGCAGTCTGTTAACAAGAAATAACAGACCACATTCTACATTAGAATTCAACCAAGCCACGTAAAAACAAGCAAAACTAACCTAAGAAAAGATGATGCCGATGCACGTAAATGCCAGACGACAGCGGAGTTGACCATGGTGTGGGAACGAGCGCTCCATCAGTTCTGGGAGATCGTGGTTTACGGAAACCCTTTGGTTGAAGCATTTTTTTTTTTTTTGCTTTGTCCACTTACATCTGTCTTTGTTGACATCCGCCATGTGTGCGCAAACAGACTGGCCGGAAATGAACTCATCTTCTGGCATGTTGCAACCATAAAAGGGCATAAAACTTAATCGCAATACATTATTTATTCGGCAAATAACGTTTCCATCAGCTTTTATCGCATTAGCCATATATCGATCAAGAGAAAATCCGATGAGACCGAACGTATTTCATTTTAGTCGATTTTCATGAAATTTCATCGAATTTTACTGTTTCCATAAGGCATTTTTCATTCGATATCACTTCATTCGGATAAAAAAGTGTCGATGGAAACATGGCTATTGTCATACTTCCTATCTCCACTGTGCTTGTTAGCTTAGCTTCCAAACAAGATGGCTGATATTGATCCCGTATCTGCAAGTGAAGTCCCACCCACTGATCTGTTATAGGCCTGTGGAGTCCCACACCCTTGAATAATAATGAGCTAATGTTTGTAGTCTCTACACTTTTTAATGAAATGTGACTTCCTGCTTATTATGACGGAAAATGACGATTTTTACGCCATAATAAGCAGGAAGTAAAACACTTAAATCCTTATTTTTCCCATCTCAGGGGAAAATAAGGGAATTAGCCATGACCATTCAAATGACTGGGTTTCTAAAGATGCAAAACTTAATGCAAATGGGTGAAGTGTCCCTTTAAAAAGCGATTTCTGTAAAATGAAATTACTCCCTTTGCTTTGAACTTTGAGCGTTGTAACTGTGTTTTTTATGCTCAAACAAACTACACAAACTAAACAAACTGCACAATAACTAAAGTTTAAAAAAGTGAAATCATAATCAACCACCCGTTTGAGAACCTGCCTTAAAAGAGCAGTCAAAACTCCATCTTTATTATGACCATTTTCTATATATTGTAATTGTAAAGTTATGAAAACTAATGAAAGGTAAACACATGTTTTGATGCAGTGATCAAAACATGCGTCACAATCAAAACTCCTTGCTCACTTTGGACATTTATCAACCAACTTCATGAGCTGAATACCTTTAAACTAGTGAAGGAGCTCATGTACGCTGAGCACTGATTTTCCTTCACTATTCACTTTTTTAAAAAAAAATTAAAAAAAAAAAAACATTTGATATGTGAATGTGACCTTATGTTTTTCCTACAAAACTGATTGAATCAGAAAGCAAAGTTTTCTAAGATCATGGAAAAAATTAATTCAGTCAAGTGTGCCTAAACATTTGTTGTACGTGCAGAGACTGACCAAATAAAGTTTAGCTCAGGTTCATAACTCTTCTGACTTAGGGTAATAATTAATTCAATTTTGTAAGGCAAGTAAGACAGCAATCGAACACCTTGCCGTTTGTTCTTTCTTTTGAGCCACAGAAGTAAAGCTGACAGACTTGCAAATCAAATTAATCTAGTTTTATCCTTGCATTGGAACTGTGAAGGTCTCATAGATGAATTGAACCTGAAAGGAACAAAGAAACAGGTTAGTGCAACTTTGCTGTTTCTGTGGTTTTGGATGATTATTCAGGAGCTAAGGTTGTGTAAGTAGGCAGAATATTTTGTTGTATTTGCACTTGTAAACTGGTTATTCGGGAAAATGAACAATATGCTTCAACATCTAATAAAAATGGTTTTATTCACGCTATATTGATTAGATTAGATAACATGGATTGGAAGAACATAACATGTAAAAGTGTCATTTAAAATAACTACCAAGAGTATAAAAACTAAGAATCCCCTTTTCAAAGAAAATCCCCTTTAAAAAAAAAATAGTATTTCCAGTTTTCAAGCTGTGTGAAATTCTCTTCAATGAACTGCAGGCCAATACGTTAATTATTGATAATTAGCACACGCCTTTCTCCTTTGCCAAACTCTGCAGGGTTCTGCCAAGGGCACTTTTCTTTTTTTTTTTCTTTTTTTTTCTTCTTTTTTTTCACCCACCTCCACCCCCCCTCTTCGGAGGACAACTTTATCTATATACATATATACATACATACACAAGGGCACTTTTCTGAAGCAAGTCATAATGCAAACATGGCAGTTTTTGGAAACATGGAAGTTGTTAGTGAAGACAAATTCAACAATAAGTTTATAACAATAAGTTTATTAGATGAATAGTTCAAAACTTAAAATCCGTCCTTATTTACTCACCCTCATTTCATTCCAAAACTGAACAATTTTCTTTCTTCTGCAAAACACAAAAGAAGTAGATTAGGCAGAATGTTCATGCTGCTCTTTTGTAAGAACCAATATCTCCAATATGCAAAAAATACATTTTCAGGAGATTTGAAAAGCATGTATATATATATATGAAGAGTTCAGATGCAAAAGCCTCTAAATGCCATTTGAAATTTTCTTCTTCAATGATGATTTTTATCAAACTTGTATATTTAAGTTCAGTAATTTCACTTAAATGGCAATGATATACAAGTTTGATAAAAATCATCATTAAAGAAGAAAATTTCAAATGGCATTTGGAGGCTTTTGCATCTGAACTCTTCATATATACTGTATATATATATATATAATTTAAATGGATTATTGAAACTGTCTTGATAAACAGGTGTGTTCTCAGTATTTCCTGTTATAAACTTCAGCTACAGTTGCTCCCTCAATTCAGTCATGTTACAGTATATGAATCTCTCTGAATGATTGATTATTGGCTGACGCAGCAGCCTATAAAAGTAGGCTGAGCCATGTAAACACACCCACCGTGTAGAAATGCAGTATAAACAGGCAGAGGTAAAACAGGTTTATATATGTATGCAGACTGTAAGGAGACACAACTGTTAGCTGCTGAAGGAACCAATGCAAGTATCTGTCTGAGTTACTTTAAAAAAAAATGTGGGTAGGCTATTAATGTGGGTATCTGTGATGTAAATGAGGATTGTGTTCTTTAACATCAGTATATAATGTAATACTATTTAGTTTTTATTGAGCTTGCACTGTGAAAAGATTGTTAAATCAATAATTTTGAAAATCAATCTTAAGGAGGGGCAACTAAAATAAATGCTAAATTATTCAACTATAAAACTGTAACAATGTCTTATTGCTATGTTCCAATAGTTAGAGTCATATCAGTTGATGCTGATATAATCTACAAAAAATACTGGAGGAAGTTCTGAGGAAATTCTTATCGAGTATGAGCTACTTTCTAACTTAATTGTATAAGGGGTGTGTTATTACCAACAATCATTTAGTGCTACTTTAAAAGCTTGTTTTCTGCCCAGGGCTTTGACAAACAGCAGGGACATACTTAGAAACGCTCTGTTAACAACATAAAGTTAGGTAAAAAACTTGTATGCTGATGTATGCAAACTATTGCATGTTGATCTTTAACAAATATATACCTGTCAAAATTCGAACTTTTGTGATGAAAAAGAAAAACTTATGACCAACCTTAATGTGATGCATATTTGTCAGTTATATATAAATGAAATAGGTTAGATTTCTGTAATTGCACTAATGAACAAAGTGTACACAATAACCAGAATTATATATTTATCATGAATTAATTCAATTTGTTTAAAGGATTAGTTCACCTCAAAATGAAAATTTCCTGATAATTTTATTTACTCACCCCAATGCCATCCAAGATGTTCATGTCTTTCTTTCTTCAGTGGAAAAGAAATTATTTTTTTCCAGCTGAGGAATAGGGTCTTATTTAGTGAAACGATGGTTGTTTTCTACAAAAATACAAATTTATATACTTTTTAACCACAATTGTTCATCTTGTGCTGGTTGGTGACTCACCAGGCGTATTCACATTGAAAGGTCATCACGATGGATTTACACTGAAATACCACCCCATTGTTTACAAGCGTGAAGAAGGATTGTCCAAATTGTATTGCATTGCATTGATTTGGACTTCAACAATTTGGTTACCATTGAAGTCCATTGTGTGGAGAAAAATCCTGAAATGGTTTCCTCAAACCGTTTCACTTTTTTTTCACTAAACTTTTTTTTTCCACCTAAGAAATTAAGACATGAATGAACATCTTGAATGGCATTGGGATGGGTAAAAAAATTATTTAAACAGATTTTTGTTGCTTCTAAGCAATTGGAATAAATTGCAACTGACCATTGTGTGTGTATAGTATACTGTATATCAGTTTTTAATATTTGGTCCATCGTCTCGAATCTCATATCCCATTGCTTAGATATAATTGATTTCATTGTCTTTTTTTTTTTCCTGACAGATCTAGATCAGAATGGCAACATTTAACAACTCTGGCACAACCAATGGCACCAATCAGTATCACTGTGATTATAAAGAAAGCTTCAAGTACATTCTTCTCCCAGTGAGTTACAGTCTGGTGTTTGTGGTCGGCCTGGGCTTGAACATCACCGCCATGTACGTCATCTTATTTCGAACCAAAAACTGGAAGCCCAGCACCATCTACATGATCAACCTCAACGTCTGTGACACTCTTTACATCCTCACCCTTCCGTTTCTGATCTACTATTACGCTGATGAGAACGACTGGCCATTTGGTGAGACGATGTGTAAGCTTATTCGCTTTCTCTTCTACACAAACCTCTACGGAAGTATCCTCTTTCTCAGCTGCATCAGCCTGCACCGATTTTTAGGCGTTTGCCATCCGGTTCGCTCTTTGTCCTGGATAAACGGCCGTCGGGCTCGTTTGGTCTCTGTGGGAATATGGGCGACAATGCTAATTTTTCAGGCGCCGATCCTTTATTTCTCCAGAATGAAAAATAATGGTGACATACGGGTTTGCTATGACACCACCAGCAAAGATCTCTTCAATGACTTTGTGGTCTACAGCTCGGTGGTGATGTTTCTGCTGTTCGTCCTACCATTTGGGGTGGTGCTGGTCTGCAACGGGCTGATGGTGAGGAAACTTAAGGAACCCGGTGTTGGCGAAGGACCAATGTCACAACGCTCCAAGCAAAAGTCGGTGAAGATGATCATTATTGTGCTTCTGACTTTCATGTTGTGCTTCTTGCCTTTTCATGTGAACCGCAGTATATACTACACCTTCCGCTACCTGGACAAACAGGTGAACTGCTCGATGTTAGAGTATGCCAGCATGGCCTACAAGATCACGCGACCTCTAGCCAGTGCTAACAGCTGCATCGACCCCATACTCTACTTCATGGCAGGACAAGGCTTCAGAAGCAGCATCAAGAAAGCTAAAACAAGATCTGGAAAACTTTAATCACCATCAACCACCGCATGAATAAAAAAAATCTCAGGCTACTTACAAAGGTCTTTGGGGCAGCCATGACAGGGCCTTCTCACTCTGGGAAGCGCACCTTATAATGAATGACAGGCATCAATGTTGATAAATAAAGAGTCAATTTTGTAGTCTTTGATAAAAATAAATAAATAAAAGAGTAGTCACTGTGTCCGAAATCGCCAAGCATACCCTTAGGGCACTATTTGAGGGGAAAGCCACTTGGAGTGGTGTCCAAAACCATAGTTGACGTAGAATGCAAGTGGTAGTAGCCCTTCTGTTAGACTCAGTGTCCGAATTCACTCACTTGTTTTACTTCACTCTTTTAAGTGAACTACTTAAATATAAGTTGATGTATAGAGTGAATGAGGGTATAGGGAGCGATTTCGAACACAGCAACATTGTTCCTTTTAGAGAAAATTTGTGGGCAAAACAGCTCACACAGAAGTCACGTTCAATCAAGCTTTTCTGTTGGTCTACGCAGTGAATTTGCGGGAACACAAGTGAAATATGCGTGTGACGGTAAATGTGATGATAATAATATGGTAATAGCCTAATAATAATAATAATATAAAAAAAATAATAACCATTCTGTGTTGTATAAATAGAAGGACTTTGTGACCCTTCCAAAGGACATAATAAAATGTGAATGTGAATGAATATATCACGATAAATACTTGCTCTTTGACCAGAGAATGTTTTATTCTATTCACATTCTATTCATGCTGCTTAATTGAAGCACTTGTGGTAAAGGTAACTAAGCTCTGCTTCTGTGAGTAACCTTACAAAGTGACAGTCCCTGAAGATCCCTGAAAAATATGTAGGCTAATTAAGTTTTCTTTAATTTCTGAAAGGAGGTTTGTGTAAGATGTTGGTAGCAGCACAAATGCAATTCCACAATGGGCCTAACTGACTTTGTAAAATCAGAGTGAGCTGTCTTTACGTGCCTTCAGTGAGAGAAAGGGAGAAAAGTCAAACTAAAACTATTAAAAATCATAAAATAAATTAAATAATAATATTACATCAAAAGCTTAAAATTTGAAATGTTGCCATGGCAACTAACCAAAATAAAATGTTTAAGCTACTGCTATTTCTGAAGCTAGAACTGGAATAAAATAAATTAAAGCTTAAGTTAAGCTAAAATTAAAATGAAAACTGAAAAGATACAAATAAAAGCTAATTCAAAGCACTATTGAACAACGCCCCGTTGAAAAAAAAAAATCTGTCATTATTACTCACCCTCATGTTGTTACAAACCCGTAAGAGCTTCGTTCATCTTTGGAACGCAAAAGAAGATATTTTTGATGAAATGAGAGGTTCCTGATCCCTCCATAGACATCAATGCAACAACGAAGTTAAGCCTACATTTTGAGAATTGTATTTATTATTTGATTTATCATACTTTTTTGGGGAAAAACTTCCATATAAAGTGCTAAAGTAAACTGCAAAAATAAATATAAATATTTTCTAAACAAATTTCCGAAAAAACAGATAATCCCGCCCCCAAAACAAGCCGTTGGTTGAGTGCATGTTGTTGTGTAGGACAAGAGCTCCCCCTACCCATCTACATAATCGTAATTATTTTTTCCTGTTTAAAGCAAAAGATCTCTTATCAATGAATCAACTTTTATTGAGGAAACATGTATGTAATATGGAAAATGTAAAAAAAAAAAAAAAAAATGCCTGAAAATAAATATAAATATCAGAAAATGGCACATCATGCGATTTGAATGTTGACCTGTATGTTAATATGTGTACTTTTGGCACTTTGTGGCGTTGCATTCTCAAAGCTAACACAACTATTGCAATAAGAATTACAGTTATCTTAAGTTACTGTACAATAAGGGTTAGGATTTGTTATCCTGTACGCTGACCCCTTGACTTTGGCATTGTTCTACAATTTCACTCTATATCCAAGTTAAGCTAAATAACAACATATGAATTTGATCTAGTGTTGATTTTCCCTTTCAGGTACTGTCATACTGAACAGCATTCATATGTGATACATTTTCAAATTCTTAACATACTGTATGTCTTTAATATATGTAAAAGATTTAAATTGTATTAGTTTTATCACAACTGAGCTAACATAAGGGTGAAGTGTAAATAATTTAAGGTGTAAATAAAAAGTGGATGTTGATACTTTTTATTCATGCCTGGTCTGCTGCACTAAGTTGTAAAATAAAATTAATTAAGAAAAATGGCTTAAGAATTTTTCTAATTTGAAATGTTTTAAAGGAAATGTTTTGTTGAGAATGGTGTGTTGTAATTTCACAAACAAATTTCATCTGTTGCACAAGTCAAGCTGAAAAAGCACAGATTCATACTCCAAAAATCCTCTGTATATATCACCCAGCCTCCTTTGGCATATTGTTTTTAGTGTTGAAACACCTGTTCAATTTCTCATTAATGTGATTATCTGAAAGGTGATTTAAACAATTTTGAGCGTGGCATGATTGTTAGTGCCAGACAGGCTGGTCTGAGTATTTCACAATCTGCTCAGTTACTGGGATTTTCACACACAACCATTTCTAGGATTTACAAAGAATGGTGTGAAAAAGGAAAAACATCCAGTATGCGGCAGTCCTGTGGGCGAAAATGCCTTGTTGATGCTAGAGGTCAGAGGAGAATGGAGTTGGACCGACGGATTCAAGCTGATAGAAGATCAACTTTGACTGAAATAACCACTCGTTACAACCGAGGTATTGCAGCAAAGCATTTGTGAAGCCACAACACGCACAACCTTGAGGCGGATGGGCCACAACAGCAGAAGACCCCACCGGGTACCACTCATCTCCACTACAAATAGGAAAAAGAGGCTACAATTTGCAAGAGCTCACCAAAATCGGACAGTTGAAGACTGGAAAAATGTTGCCTGGTCTGATGAGTCTCGATTTCTGTTGAGACATTCAGATGGTAGAGTCAGAATTTGGCGTAAACAGAATGAGAACATGGATCCATCATGCCTTGTTACCACTGTGGTAACAAAACCATTTGCTTTACTGTTGGCGTGCGCGCGCGCGTGTTTGTGTGTGTATATACTGTGTGATACTGTCGAGAACTTCACACAACTAAAAGTAGTGCTGTCAAATCGATTTATTTATTTATTCATTTAAAAGGGACATACGATAAACATTTCAGTAATGTAAATATGCCAGAATTAGCCCCAGGGCTACTTTCCATCTCCAGTCCCCACATCACATCTAATATTAAAGTTTGTAAACATATGTGTGTATGTGTGTGTGTGTGTGTGTGTGTGTGTGTAGTCTGTGTACATATACCCACACATATTGTATATTTACAAACTTTTATGATAGATGCGATTAATCGATTTGACAGCACCAAATTTAGTTGTGTGAAGCTCTCAGCAGTGATTGGCATGTCATAGACTGATGTTCTGACCAATGGGAGTAGGCTTAGTTGTGTTGACGTGAGAAGTACTGCCTACAATGAAGAAATGCAGCATGAACAAGCTGAGCAAGAGCAAGACTGCGCAGGTTTAAAGAACACGAGGGGAAATTCCTGAAAGTATCTGCTGAAAACACATGTGAGTATGTTATTTACTTCTCTTTTACTTACTAAATGTGAAGTTTACAAAAATGTTTATTTCATTTGTTTCATTATATAATGCTTATTGGACTTTCCTATGATTTATTTTGGTATAAAAATAAAACAATCAAAATTCCTCCTTTTTGGAGTATCTTGTTTATCATTAATTTATTTAGAGGATAATTCTTTAAAACTTGATTAAAATAATGAATGGCAAAATACAATGATTCATCCTAAAATAACATTAGACATTCTGCAATATAAAGATGTAAAAACTTGTATACTGTATATGGAGTTCAAAAGTCTGAGGCCATTTTAATAAAAAAAAATGACATTGAACGTATGATTCTTTGAACACACAAGCAGATTTTTTTTGCTTTAGATTTACAAATCCTCCTGAAGAACATGACCATGAGGTTTTGGTTATGTAAGCTCCAGTAGTTATGACAGTAAAGCATTTGATAAAATAATTTATACTGAAAATGGTTGTCACACACACACACAAACACACGTGTATATATATATATATATATATATATATATATATATATATATAAATCATGTGTCTGCTTTAATAAACTAATAAATCATCTATAAAATAATCTATAAAATAATACATCATATATATGAAGAGTTCAGATGCAAAAGCCTCTAAGTGCCATTTGAAATTTTCTTCTAAAATGATCATTTTTATCAAGCCTATATATTCAAGTTCAGTAATTTCACTTATATGACAATTAATTGGTAATCCTCAATCCAATTTAAGTGAAATTACTGAACTTAAATATACAAGCTTGATAAAAATGATAATTTTAGAAAAAAAATTCAAATGGCACTTAGAGGCTTTTGCATCTGAACTCTTCATATATATATATATATATATATATATATATAATGTGTCTTGTGTTAATATTATGTGTGTGTGTGTGTGTATTATAAGACACATATACACATAGTATATAATATATACACACACACATATATCAATAAATATATGTGTATGTGTATATATACACAATCATGCCCACACACACACACACATATAAACACAACAAACCGTGAGTTTAGAATTATAAGGTTCTATCTCCGCTTTTGGTCGAAATTGAGTTTTTGACATAATCTGATCCATTAGGTGTTTATTAATGCGTGTTTATAGTGTGGTGTTATTTTTGTAAAAAAAAAAAAAAAAAAAAGATTAATAGATAAAGCTATAATAGAAGATTATACTACGTAACAGTTTTGCCAGCTGGGATGTAAAAACTTTGATGCTCAATATCTCAGAACTACCCTAAACGGAGATAGAACCTTATAATTCTAAGCTCACGAAACATCTAGATTTTCATATAAAAGGTTAAAGTGTGGGAAGTGTGCAGGCTTCTTGTGAAATTAGCTGAAATTATAAAGAGGAAGTTCTCAAGAAATTCTCTGGAGATTTTGAAGATACTTTGGGGCTTGATTTGCTTCTCTGATCAATATGATGTGTTATTTTGTGGCATAAATGAGAGTGCTATCAGGCTGTATGAGTAGCAGAACAACCATTTTGTACTTTTTTAAAAGCTTATTTGTGCATCCCCTGAGTTTGGAAAAGCCAATTGAAATTACTTTGATGCTCTGTTAAGAACAATTTTCCGGGAATTTTAGTCTGCCATATGCATGACAATATCAATATGGGTGTGTGCGGTTAGTGGACATTTACCACCTCTTAGAGAATGGCATGTGTGGTCTGTGATCCTAGACAGATGTCATAATGATCACTTATTCCATTTAAATATTGCAACACAACAAAATTTACAAAATTTATGTTTAAAAGCAATACCAGGATTTGGGTAAGAGAAGACGGCTATGCTTTCCCGGGCCGCCAACAGGATCGGGCCTGTGTGGAATCCTCCACAGTGTCCCAAGCCCTCAAGGCTGGACGATTGGTTTCTCGGGGTGGCTTGTGCTGGTTCTCCACTACCCACCCAAGTAACTTTCTTCCCAGTGGTGCATGAGGAGATCACTGGTTTGGGGACAACACCTTTTATTGCCAGAAACCATTCCAGTGGCTCCTAAGACCTCACCACCCTTGATGGGTTACAGTAGACTGTAAAAAATATGGACGTAGTATCCGTGACGTCACCCATAGGTTTCTGAAGAGCGTTTTTGAAGCCTAAAGTGGGCGGGGCCGGCCGTCGCCATCTTGGCAGTGCGTCACCTCTCGTCACTACCGGATAAATTAAAATGGGCAAAGAGGCGGGAGCTGTGGAGCTGAGGTGCTAATGCTATGCTACTGCCCTCATGCTGAAGGGACAGCTGTTTGAAAAAGTAAAGCCAATGGTTAAAGTTCATATTTTTGCCCTTCGAAATATTATAATAGTTAAGACGTAACTAAAAGTGAGACTATTTACTTTAGTGGTCAACCTGATTTTGGCCGCCTCTCAGTTTCTCAGATGGGTCAAACCAAAGATATTACCTCAGAAGTTCAAGTAAATGCACTAAAAATCTGCGCTCATTCAAGGGTGTGCATCTATTGCATGGTCGGAGAGAATGCGCTGAAATCATCAGTCATCCATTAGTGCATGTGAGGGAAACAGCTGGAAATACAGCGCTGGTCGTTCTCTCCATACTCAACACGACGGAATCCAACGGCGTGCCCAGGCGAAGGTATAATACATGTATTAAATTGTGTGAAATAATCCCGGAAAAAGCACAAACACAGCTGAGGGTGACGCTAACAGACAGCAGACAAACGACTAGCAGTGAAAGCAGCGGCACCTGTCACTCAAGTGGCCACGCCCTTAATTATGCAGAACTTTAAGTCTTAAAAATAATTTAAACAGATGAGTTGTGAAAAAATTCACCCCCCTCACAGTCGTCATAAAGGGCAAAATTAGCGACATAGACCAAAACAACTATCTGCTACCAGGCTGTAAACATGTTTTTTTCTGCTGTGAAGTTAGACATTTTAACTTGGGGAGATACAGATTTGACTCGCTTTTGCAGTCAGCCTCAAGCGGCCACTCGATGAATTGCAGTTTAATTCACTTCCGTGGAACAGGCTGTTGCTATGCAACTGCTCCCTAACTCCACCTGGTAAGGGGAGCCGTGTGTCCCTTCCTGGGCCTGTAAGCACTCGTCGGACTTAACCGACAAGGCTTACCAGGTCTGTGGGGAAGCCGCCTCTGCCTTAAATGCTATGGCGTTGTTACACATCTATCAGGCCAAGGCACTGAAGGACCTCCACAAGGGTGGTCATGATCCCCAAGTTCTCCAAGAACTTCGCTCTACGTCGGACCTCGAGCTTCAAGCGGCAAAGGTGACCGCATGGTCAGTGGGTCGTGAATGAGACTGACAAAGTCAGGTTCCTTTACTCCCCTGTTGGTCCATGACCAACCTCAGGGTTTTACTGCCCCTACTTCATTGTACCCAAGAAAAGCGCTGGTTTACAGCCCATCTTAGACCTGCAAGATTTGAATCTTGTGTTTTGAATCTCCACAAGCTACCGTTCAAAATGCTACACAGAAAGGTCAAACGCATCTTTGAATGTATCCGTCCCTGAGATTGGTTTACGCCGATCGACCTGAAGGGTGTGTACATTCATGTCTCGATTCTACCTTGACGCAGGCCGATTCTGCGCTTTGCATTTGAGGGTCGAGCATATCACAAGGTCCTGCCCTTCGGGCTATCCCTGTCTCCCCGCTTCTTTACAAAAGTCACAGAGGGGGATTTTCCAATGAGAGAAAACAATGAGAGAACTATCTTGACGACTGGCTCATACTGGCACACTCTCGAGATCAGTTATGTGAACACAGGGACCTGGTGCTCAGTCATATAGCAGCGGCAGCAGCAGTAATACCGCTCGGGTTTCTTCATATGAGACAGCCTCAGCACTGGCTTCATGGCCGAGTCCCGAGATGGGCATGGCAACGTTGTACTCACTGGATGACAATCTCACCTGTGTGCTGCCAGACTTTCAGCCCGTAATCAAACCCCTTTTTTCTACGGGCAGGAGTGCCTTGGAACAGATTTCCAGGCATGCTATGGTGGTCACAGATGCCTCCGCCACTTGCTGGGGTGCCATGGGCACATCAACTGCCTCGAGTTGCTGGCAGTACGTCTCGCTCTGAGCCGCTTAAAGAGGCCGCAACAGGGCAGGGATGTACTGGTCCATACGGACAACACTGCGACTGCTGCGTATATCAACCGACAATCAAGGTGGTCTACGCTCCCATCGCATGTCCAAGAGCAGCTGCTGCAAATGAATGCATGCCAATGTGCATCTGACATTCATATATTAATTGTGACATATATTACATCGCTGATATATTTTCCAACCCAATTCATTGCAACGACCACTACTGAAAAAATGCTTTCATTCTGTGACAGCTTTGCCATTATTTTCTCTTTCCAACGTAAAACAGGGTTATTTTAATGCTAACATTGTTTTGTTGACATGAAGGAGATGATTAAAAGCTTTTTTATCTGTGTTTTTATACAAAATATAATATTAACATGTTCATTTAAGCTTCCTATTAAATTTGATTTCCCCTTGTTTCATTGTCTTATTTTTTTGACAGATCTGGTTCAGAATGGCAACACATAACAATACTCCAAGAACCAATGATAGTGAGTATCGTTGTACTTTAAAAGAAGAATTCAAGTACATTCTTCTCCCAGTGAGTTACAGTCTGGTGTTTGTGGTCGGCCTGGGCTTGAACATCACAGCCATGTACGTCATCTTATTTCGAACCAAAAACTGGAAGCCCAGCACCATCTACATGATCAACCTCAACATCTGTGACACTCTTTACATCCTCACCCTTCCGTTTCTGATCTACTATTACGCTGATGAGAACGACTGGCCATTTGGCGAGACGATGTGTAAGCTTATTCGCTTTCTCTTCTACACAAACCTCTACGGAAGTATCCTCTTTCTCAGCTGCATCAGCCTGCACCGATTTTTAGGCATCTGCCATCCGGTTCGCTCTTTGTCCTGGATAAACGGCCGTCGGGCTCGTTTTGTTTCCGTGGGAATATGGGCAATCGTACTCATCTTCCAGGCCCCGATCCTTTATTTCTCCAGGACGAGAAGTAATGGTACCCTTCTGATCTGTCACGACACCACCAGCAAAGATCTCTTCAATCACTTTGTGGTCTACAGCTCGGTGGTGATGTTTCTGCTGTGTGTCCTACCATTTGGGGTGGTGCTGGTCTGCAACGGGCTGATGGTGAGGAAACTTAAGGAACCCAGTGTTGGCGAAGGACCGATGTCACAACGCTCCAAGCAAAAGTCGGTGAAGATGATCATTATTGTGCTTCTGACTTTCATGTTGTGCTTCCTGCCCTTCCATCTGAATCGCAGTATATACTACACCTTCCGCTACCTGGACATACATAATTGCGACATGCTTCGGCTCGCCAACAATGCCTACAAAGCCACGCGACCTCTTGTCAGTATCAACAGCTGCATCGACCCCATCCTCTACTTCATGGCAGGGCAGAGCTTCAGAAAATCCATCAAGAAATTAAGCATGAAGTCTGATAAAACCCTTTCAACCTTACAGTGAAGATGAAGATCTTTGGGGGAAAAAAGCTTGATAAAAAAAAGATTTCAAAAGGGGGTTTTCTTTGCGATGCCAGAGAGAAAAAAAAACATTTTTTTGGTTCCTTTAAGAAACGTTTAGTGAGAATGTTTTTTTCCTCAATGTAAAGAAGAAATAATCTTTTGTGTAATGCATAGGTTTCATGTATATGTTAAAGTTTGTAAACGAAACCATGTAATGTAAGAGCACATACCCCTTCATTTATGGTCTGGAGACAAAGTCATGGTGGTCAACTTGGTTTAAAAATGTGGAAGTGAGAATGACATGATTTTGGTTTGGTTTGTTCCTTACAAAAATCTACTGGTTTGCATGAGAAAACTTGGATTTTTGCACAAATTGCAATTACTGTATATGCATGCATAGCTTCATGCGATCAGAGACTGTAGGTGTTTCTCAATGTCAAGCAGACAGGACGGGTCCTTCCAAGTCATTTCCTTCAGAGGCTAGACGAGGCTCCTCTTTAGCATTCGGAGAACACGTAAATGAAACAGCCCAGCAAGTGCACGTCATTGCGTCATTACATCAGTGAAAGGTCCGCTTTCGGCGCTGCAAAAATGGTAGTGCAACTGGTTTGGTTGCTGTACCGCACTGTTTAAACACACTTGACAGCCATTATTTTGTCTTTTTCAGCCCTCATAGAAATAAATAAATAAAAGTAAGGGATGAGGCGGCTGTTATAGCGAATACAAACCCGCAAACTCTAAAGCCCGGAACACACCAAGCCGACGGTCGGCCGTCTGGCAGATTTTGTGCGTCGTCCAACTAAGTTTCCTCGGTGTGTGATACGCACGGTTCCGTGCCGTTGGCTGAAAATAGTCCTTGTTGGCTTTGTTTCGACTGATTCGACATGTTTAACCGGCGTCGGGCCGTTGGGGAAAGAGAGAACTCTGATTGGCTGTTCAGCTTAGTGAAAGAGTCAGTAAAAGCAAAACAGCAAGCTAAATCAAAATGGTAAAGATAGAAGGCTGTTCTTATGTTACGTCATCTTACCTGAGTGTTCCTTGGCGAATATTTCAATATTAACATGAGCGGAGTTGAATAAAGAAAGCGTTTAGCAGGATTGATATTCAAAACGGTAAGTACGCGCTGCTTTGTTTACATTATGTGTATCTGCAGCCGGCAGCGTCGGTTTTCCTTTTTGAATGACGAATATATAGACTAATATATCTGCAGAAATAGACAGTTGGCTCATTACACGCAGGCGCAGAACGCACATTCTAGCTGACAGTCGCCTGTTGTTCTCTCGGTGTGTTCGAGTGCAGCTTTTTACTTCGACGAGAGCGGACGAGAGGCGACAACACAGTTGGTTTTCATCAGCGTTAGTTCGTTGGCGTCGGCTTGGTGTGTTCCGGGCTTAGCGGAGGGGTCTTGAATCAGCCTGCCCTGAAGGGGTTGTATTCGCTGTAACAATCGCCTCGCTATACATTTTCCCACTTATAACATGGCTACCTACCAAATAAATCAATAATTTGTCACAAAATATTGATTTAAAAAGTAGTTTATTAATTTAAAAACTATTATATTATCTGAGTGAACAGTACTGTGTCCATCTAGCTGTTAAAAAACATGCAGTTGTAAAATATGTGATCAACAAAAAAGGCTAACGTTAACGTTATATGAAGTATAGTGAATCACCAGTAAAAGGGAACAGCTTTAAATCCCCCCTCTGCAAATCACTTGAGCCGTATGTTTAATAGTTTAACAAACATTAAATAAATGGCAAAACTTAAATTATACTTAGCATAAACTAACTTACATTTGAAAGCATATTGTCGTTACGACTCTGCTAACGTTCAACTTTTTTATATTTGAACAAGATAGCAAAGCTGCGCATAGGATTGATTTGAGAGTGTGAACGAAGGCTACACATATGCATTCTTTCCTGTGTATGGGATGTTTTCCGAAAGAAGGACTCAGTCCTTGGTTGAAATTCTGAAGATCCTCAACATTGGAACAGTCCTTCGACGGACGTCGATGATGTAGCATCCTCGAAATTCCGGCTTCGGAGGATCCTTCCTTGACATTGAGAGCCTTGTATCATGTTTAATTATATATGACTGTAATTATATCAATCTTAGAGAAGGCATGTTTAAATTTAGGCTGTATTGTTTTGTATTTATTGGACTTAAATGAAATGTAAAAGTGGAAAAATTACAGGATTTTTTTTGTTGGGGGGGGGGGGGGGGGTTTGATTGTGATTTCACTTTTTTTCATTTTAAATAACGTGTAATGTTGTTGTTGGTGCATGAACAATATCTGCAAAGTTGCCGTGCTGAAAGTTTAGTGTAAGCAGAGATATCATCTTTTAAAGGGTTAGTTCACCCAAAAATGAAAATTAAGTCATTAATTACTCACCCCCATGCTGTACCAACCCCGTAAGACCTTCGTTCGTCTTCGGAACACAAATGAAGATATTTTTTATTAAATTTGAGAGCTGTATAACTACCACATTGGCTGCCTAAGGGACTGCCTCTTGACGGCCCAAAAAGTCAATGAAGAAAATGTTTAAATATCCCAAGTGACTACCGTGGCTCAACTATATGTTTATCAAGCGACGCGAATACTTTTTGTGCGAAAAAACAAACAAAAATAACGAGTTTATTCGACTATTTCTTTTCTTCCTTGTAGGCCAGAAACGAGACTTCCTTAGATTTCCACGACGCATGCGCGAGAATTGCGATCTGAATTAGTGTAAGCTGGTGTAAGCAGATCGCAATTCTCGCGCATGCGTCGTGGAAATCTAAGGAAGTCTCGTTTCTGGCCTACAAGGAAGAAAAGAAATAGTCGAATAAACTCGTTATTTTTGTTTGTTTTTTATAAAACACAAGCAGGTTATAACTGTGTGTTCTATGTCATAGATCAAAACGTGAAAATATTTGGATGCTTTGTTCCCCACAGACCTTATTTCAGGCGATTTAGCAAAAACCCCATTCAAAAATCCCATAGGCTTTAGAGCGAGGGAACCGGTAGTGCTAAAATGCTAACTCACTTCCGCGTTTTGGCCTACAGAGTGACGTCATAACTTCGGCACTCTATGGGCGTGAAGTATCCGGACAACGTGAGCGACAGTTTAGCGAATCACCACACACCAGCCCAAACTAACCAATCTGAGCCCACTGCCTGTTTCTGAGGGAGTGGTTTCATAGACTCAGGAAGTCAACCAGTCGTTCAGGGGAAAGAGTAGAGCATGGCTTAAGACCACTTTATACTTCTGCGTCGAGGGTACGCCGTAGTGTACGCCGTAGGCTACGCACGTAGGCGACGCCGTTATGAGTATTTATACTTCTGCGTTCAGGTCTTGGTTGCTCTGCAGTACTGCTCCGAAACGCTAGTTGGCGATGGAGGGTTTTAATGTTACACTGTGTTTAGATTCCTCACGGCTAGGTTACTACAAGCAATGGCGACTGAAAGAGAGCCGATCATGTTGGAGTTGGAGCTTATTGAGGTGGAAAAACAGTTAATTTTAGTGAAATTACTAAAACTGAAAGGCAGAAATGAGAGAAGACGTTGGAGGAGATGGTATGTGCGGAAATGCGTAGGAGGAAGTGCGATGCTACCAAGCCGACCAATCACCGATCTTGCGGTCCGCGTCGTCGCAACGTGTAGTTACATTTTTGAGGAGGTGCGCGTCAGGCGACGGCGAAGGGTACGCGGTATGGGACGCGTCTGTGCATATGCTACGCTGTTCGCAGAAGTATAAATTGCCCTTTACAATAAAGGTGAAGTTTATGAAAAATAAGACTTTTTAAAAAAGAAAAATCACAAATACATGTTATATTGCACCCCATAAACAGAATCATGCAAAGAAAAAAAGCAGTAACCCCCCCTTAATTATAAAATTATATAATTAAGATGTTACTTTATTCTATTTTCTGCACTGAAGTGTGAATTAATTGTATTTTATTTTAAGTGAATCAATAGTAATTAATACTTTTACTTAGCATGGATCCATTAAATTGATCAAAAACAATCTTTTTTTCTACTTTCTACATTCAAAACGGTGTAACAGTTTCTACAAAGTAATATTTCACAATATAAAAACATCAAAAATCCAACCCCAAACGTTTAAATAGTATATATTACAACATTATTGCACATAAATGAATTTTCAGATCTCAAATGCAGTAAGGTTCTTTATTTTAAGAGTATAAATATAAAGAAAAAACAACATTATTATTTGTATGATAATAAATAAAAGCAACAACAATACAGAGTATTGTAGCAACAGAGAGTTTTCCCCTTACCTTGTCATTTTACTTCATCTTTGCAAACAGCCGTCTAGCTCTGTCTTCAATAAGTGATTGTAAACATTTATATCGTATAAAATTCACTTTAAATAAAATGTGCATGTTAATATCAGTAAAAGAACTGTGATTGTATACCCCTGAGTACTGTAGCCTTGCTTCATCTGAATTACAACGAAAAATCAATAAATACTATGGAAGAAGGAAATTCAGCTTTTGTAGCGTCTTGTTTCTTTTCATCTGTGTGACGAACACTCCGCTATAAATTCTGTAAGAGGAAGATCTTGACGTGGAGGTTACGTTCACACCTCAGCATGACTGATTTTTTTCCAGTAGGTGCAAGGAAGTTATTACCCAGAGTTATTGTAATGACTATAAAAATATACATACATGGGAAAAATGCTCCCATAATCAACTAATGAGCAAATGAGTAGTTTCATATTTTTCTATCATTTTTAATTTGATGCATGCATCGTTGGATTGTATTTTTTCCCTCAGCTTTTCAAATATATTTTTGCTTTAAATCAAAGTTTGTCATGTTATTCACTTTCTGTAGGCTTAATAGGTTATTGGTATAACGCTTTAAATAATATATATATATATATATATATATATATATATATATATATATTTAAAATCCCTATGGGGTATCAACAAGCTCTTTTGGCCTGGAAGCTGTGTCATTCTCACAACTTCTCTCACACAAGGCCATCGCTTGGAATAATGAATACATCACTAGAGGGAACTTACAATCATTTTTTTTTTTTTCAAATTTAAACTGATATATATTTTGAGTCTGAAATATGCTCTAAAATGTTTAAGTGGAAATTAGGAAAATATCTCTCTTTTAATAGATAATGAAGTTTGTAAGTCTGTTTATTTAAACTATATATTATTATTTTGATTTACTTTTTCATTTTATTTATTTTTTTCAATTAATTTTATTCTGATGCTTATTTATTTTTTGCTGTATAATATTTGTTTACGAACTGTGATGCTTGTATGTTTGTAACTTGCATTCTAATAAATAAAAAAAAAAGCCCAAACAAGCCCAACAACAACGCTTATGATATGATCATTTAAGTAGACTTCCAAACATAAACAAAACACATCTCCCCTGTTGAGGGTTATTTGGTTAAAATTACAAAACAGCATAACATTTTGGTTGCTGTAATATTAATTTGGTTAAAATACAGATAGCACACATACATCCCCAAGATGTAATTTCAAGAGTGCTTTATTTGGAAAACATCTGTTGTGCAAAACATCTGATAAACATCTTTAAAAAAGTAGTTTTACATACATTCTAAATAATAAACATCTTAAAGACATTTTTTAAATGTCTTTATTATCTGACAGGAAACTGTATGAACATAGTCACCACAGTGTCAATCATTGCAATTTTCGGATTAAGTCGTGTTCCGTACACACAGAACGAGAATTTAGGGGACTCAACTGTATTTAAAATGGGGTTGTCTCTCCTGAAACAGGTGTGCAGTGTGTGTGGCCTAATTTCCAACACGTTTGATTAAGCGAGCAATCTGACATGCAAAAGGTTAAGCACTAATCTTTAACTGTTTTATAGCAATAAACCAGACAGCTAGTCTGAGCTGAGGCACTACAAATGTTCTTAATGATAATACTTTTAAAATGAGCAATAAATCTATTTTTAGAGATTTTCTCAGCTGTCTGCTCTCAGAT